GGGGTTACTATGGTAAACCTTCTAAATGATGATACACTTTACAGATCAGTAACATTCAGACTTCAAGTTTAGAAACAACTATAGCTGAACCTGGGGCCTTGGACTATGCTATTTCCACCAGCTCTTTTTACTTTAATTTTTTGAGATAGGGACTCATTAAGTCCTTGCGTTGCTCAGTCTGGTCTTGAACCTGTGATCCTCCTGTCTCAGCCTCCCACAGTGCCAGGATTATAGATGTACATTACATGCCCAACTCTGCTTTATTTTTTAAAATGCCCTCATACTCAACAGGGGCAAGTGAGACAAATTCCCAAAGCAATTTTCAAACGAAAGTGCTTGCACAAGGATAACAATTTGTTTTTCAAAAACAATTTCTCTTATTATTACACTGTTTACCAATTAAGACTCAGAAAAGCTTATATGTAAGAATATTTTTGCTTTGTTTTGTTTTGTTTTTCTGAGATAGGGCCTTTCTTTGTATTCAGAGTGGCCTTGAACTCATAATGTTGCCCAAACTAGCCTCGAACTTATGGTGACTCTCATGCCTCGGTTTCCCAATGTTGGGATTACAGGTGTGCACCATCATGCCTGGCTAGATACAATTTACGAGTACGATCTTTCACAATTTTCTACCACCTTTCAAATCACTTTGGAGTGGTGGGAGATTGGTTAATCTCCAACCAGAAATATAAAAATGCTTCTTAAATCTTTAAAGATTATCATGTGGATTTTCTGTCACTTAAACACTGTGAGAAAACAAGAAAATTAAGGAAACACACTGGGAAACATACCAGGTTCAGCTTCTGTGGCTTTTTTGGATGGAGTCAAAACCCTTGGACAGGAACAGCTTGAATTCCACTGAGCATGTATCATGGAAAGATATGCAACTCCAATGTTTTAGTCATCTTGCTATTTTTTAAGAATCAAGTATCACAGATGATACTTGCCCACACAAGATGACCAAAAATTTGAGTGTACCATCCTGTTTGCAACTGCAAAAATCCCATTCAGCCTCGGCAGTCTGTGAGGAGCCAGGCAGGATGGGAATATATCCCTAACAGTCCCAAACCACAGCATGATTACTACTGTAATCCCTACCCAGCAACCACCAGTCTCTCACAGATTAAAAGGCTGCAAGCTGACCTCTGAATGATTCATTCATGAGTATTTATGACGAGTGAATATATTTAACAGCTGTTCTCAGAAAGCTTCCCAACGAGGGACCCCCTTCCAGCCAACATGCAACATGAGACCCCACCAAGTAGACAGTAGCCACAAGGGGCAAAGCTAGGGTCAGTTAGGTTCCCCTTCTGTTACTTGCTAGATATGGCCCCTTGGACAGCTTTGGCTCTCTTAAGTTTCAGTTCTTCATCTATGAAGTCGGCACAGAGGTGCTTACCTCAGAGACTTATTTGTCAGCCTAGTACAGCACAAGCACTTAACGAATGTCATTTCTTTCAAGAGGTATACATTTCCTTAGTGTCCTCCTAACCCTGAAAAGGACCCTCTTTTCTTTCTTTCTCTATACCCTATAAGCTTTCCTTTCTAGTTTCTAATTATTATCACTTTTTATTTTGATGATCTGATTAACACTACTCGCTACCACTGGACTGCAAAATGCATAAAGAAAGAGGCTTTGACTGATCTTTCCTGTATATCCCACACCTGGAACAGTAGTGGTAATATGACAGATGCTCAATAAATACCTGAATTAATACACCATACTGACAAGTGTACAAAATACAAAGACAAAAGACCTAGTACCAGCCCTCATCAAGCAGTTCACAGGCCAGTTCAGCAGTGATTAATTCTAGCTATAAATTAGTCTCACTTATGGAGTAATATTTTAAAAATCTTAGCATCTGGTCCTACTCTGGAACAACCCAAGGAGTACAGACCTGAGAGATGTCTATCCCTGATTTTGTTTTTGAAGAGTCCCTCCAGTGATTCTAAGGAACAGCTGGGTACGAATCACTGGTCTAATGCAAGACAGCTAGTTAGCAATCACAACACAGTGAGACACACGCTGTCCTACAGAGGCCCTGTCAGGCACTTTGGAAGATCTTCTATGTCTGTACTGTCCAATAGCTGGCCACTAATCAGATGTGGTTACTGAGAAACCTGAAATCATATTTTACTCAATTAAGTTATAAAAACCATGTATGCCTAGAGGCTTCTCTAATGTCAGGAGGGCGATCCAGAACTTGGGTGGCCATGGCACAATCTACAAGGCAAGTACAGTCTAGTGGAGAAGATGGTAACTCAGCCCTGCACAGACCCCTTGAACTCTCCTACTTAGTTCCCCAAGCTACATAGGGAAACCTCTCTCTTGTCATTCCAGGGCAGCTGTGACCAAGACACAAAATGAAGCACATCCCTGAGAAAAAGAACCTTTGTGTGAGCTGTGGAATGATATGGTGCATGTGGCTAAGGAAAGCTACGTGTCTTGAGCATGGACAATCGGAGAGGGCTCATATGGAAGCCAGGCTCTGTAAGTACGGCAACACCCGGTAACTGAAGAACAAGGGTCTTCCTTGTGGCTCACAAGCTAAGAGGTTTACGTATGAGCCACAATGGTGTGGAGCACTGAGTTACTCCTGAGGCAGACAATGTCTCACTGAGCTCTTTTAGATGGCCCTGTGCTGTGTATATCATGAATTAAAACAGCAAACACTGGCCCAATGGCTCTAACTGCTATGTCTCCCATCTACCTTTTGTTACATACCTACTATGTGGTAGTGTATTAGCAGTCTCAAAAGTCCTCTCATTTTGCCCATACAGTAACCTGCAAATTAGATACTATTAACTTTTATGGTGAGAAAACTTAAGACTCATGGAAGTTAAATAATTTGCTTACTCGAACAAGTATGAGAAAGCTAAGACTTAAAGTAAAATCTATATACTACATGAGCTATTTTTTAAAAAAGAGTGTACAGCATTCTATTAATACTACTGTTTACTTACAAATACTAAGTGTAGCAGTTAATGAATTGTCAAAAAGTGAATTTAACCATGCAACTACCACTGAAATCAAGAAACACAAAAATATTACCCCCTCAAATTTTGTTTGTGACCCTATTTATTTATTACATTCCCCTCCCTAAAGAGCTAATATTTATGAAGAGTCCACCAAAATGTAGTTCATTTTAAATGAAGGAAAGCACAGAAGTTATAAATTAGGTATACCGTATAGGCCAAAACTTGTAAAACAATTGGTTACTAAGTAAGTAAACAAGCTTTATTTATTTATTTATTTATTTATTTATTTATTTATTTATTATCTTTTTGAGATGGGGTTTCACTATGCAGTTCAGGCTGGCCTTGAACTCACTTTGTAGCACAGACTAGTCTCAAACCCACTGCGATCCTCCTACTTCAGCCTCCCGAGTGCTGGGGTCACAGGCATGTGCCACCATGCCCAGCTTAAACAATATTTATTTAAATTAATAAGACATCAGTATTATTATTATTATTAATTATTGGCCATTTGAGACACAGTCTCACTGTGTAGATCAGGCTACCCTTGAACTCAGTATGTAATATAGGTTGGCCTTGAACTTGGCAACTCTGCCTCAGCCTTTCAGGTGCTGAAATTATAGGCCTGTGCTACCACACTAGACATTACTGCTTTATTGAATATGAAGAAATTAAGCGGTGGTATTAAGACTCCAGGATGCAGAATGTGTTAACAACTTCTGTAGTATTATAGCACTCCTTGAGGCCTACTTGGTTTTAAGACAAAATGCTATTAGGTTTCTACTTAGTTAAGTGATTCTCAGTTTTGAAGAGAGAAAGAAGGCCATAAAATATCTAGGGGTTGAGTTCTGTCCTTTCAGTTCTGTAACTGTATAATGATAAAATTAAGAGGACTCAGCATTTACTGAACTTCTAACAATGGTAGGCCCTTTATAGATATTAAATCATTTCAAAACCTTTTTAATTCTGCTATCCCTATTTTACAGATGAGAAAAACAGAGGTTTGAAAAAGTGAAGTAACCAGTTGAGTCACTTGTGTAAATAAAGAGGTTAGCAAGGATGAAAAGTGACAACTGTTCATCTTCAAAGCCTGTGCTCCTTGTGTTACAGCTAGCTATCTTTCTCGTCCTGGTTTTCTATGGGGTTAGAGACAGAGGACTTCTTAGAGAGGGGATCCCTGGGCAGGCCAGCTGGTACTTAAATAATGATGTGAGCCAGAGATCCTGATATTCACTATATGTGTCCAAGCATCTCCTTTCTTGCAGTGTTAAGAGTATACCATTTCTTGTGGGAGTCTAATGTTTTTCTTAATTTTGTTTGTTTCTTATTCAGCGACAAAATACTTTTAAGTCCAAGTTAACAAAGTCCTTAGATCAAAGCTAAAATATTTAATCATACAAGTTATCTGGCATCCCCTTGGACAAAAGAAAAGATGATACCCTGACAGCTGGCAGGATTTTCCAGATTTATTTTTGTCCCCTAACTTTCATGCCATTCTGATTCTCAAACATGCACAGGCACACTCATGAAGGAAAAGATCAACTGGGTGCAGAGGTGCATAACTGTAATCCTGGCACTTAGAAGGCCAAGGCAGGAGGAGTACAGGCTCTAGTCTAGCCTGGGGAACTGAACAAAATCCTGTGTGTATATTGCTGGGGATGGATGTAGCTCTGCATGAAGATCCTAGGTTGGAGTGTTAGTATGGCCTCACCCCCAAATGGGGAAAGATTCCCATGTACTTAACTGAGGCCACTAAATCATAGTCTGAAACCCACAGAGATTTGTCTCTTGTGACAAAATTACCTATCACTCAGCTCAGTTCTTCAAGGCATAATAAAATGTACTTCTACTAATTTTTTTTTAACTACAGAAACACAAATTTGGGCTGACACAGAAAAAAAGAAAAGCTAAATTTCTTTAATACTTACTTTTCCATTTGTATCAAGTCTTTTATAAATATCTCCCATTGAGAAAACTGTACACAGTACGTATCATTCATACAATCTGATTTGGTAGGTACTTACCTTGGCCAGAATTGTATATTGCTTTTACAGATTTCTTCACTTTCTGTAGGGCTGTTCTATCTTGGTCTAGAGCCTAAAAGAGAAAAAACACAGGAAAAAGGATGTTGGAAAATTTGGTACCTTTAAAAAAAAAAAGAAGAAGAAAACTGATTCATAACTGTATTTGTTTTGCTGAGCACCAAAGCAACAACAAACTGACAAATTTATGAACAACGAACCATCTCGGAGCCTGGAAATGCCCAACCCTGTTAACTGTGCCTGGAAATGCCCAAGCCTGTTAACTGTGTTTTCTGCGTAAGTGCACAGCCACTCACAAACCTCAGCGTTGGGGACATGGTAGCTTGGTGGCTGGCCAGTTACCATGCTAAGAAATTACAAGGCACACAGGAAATTCTAAGACTGTTTCTTTCTCTCATGAGCTTCTAATCTCATAAGGGAAAAAAGCAAACATAAGACACGATGGCACAATACTCAGGGAACAAAACCCATCAGCTAGTGGTAATTTCATCCAAACAGAAAGGATTTAGGGGGAGTATAATAGGAATGACCTTTCCACAGTGCTTTTGAAATCTGAGAAATTTAGTGTTTAAAAAAATTAACTGTGGCATATGGAAGTAGTTTTGTGGGGCAGTTAAATTTTGAAAATCTGTCTGCTAAAAGAATGTAGTATGGAAATGCTATATAACATTAGTGATGCTTTTAAATAGTATTGTGGATAAGAACCAACACATCCGCATCAGCCTACCTGATCTATACGTGGGACAGTGGCTGCTGACTTTTAACCTAGGTGCTAGATATACAGTTATACGTCAGTGTGTTAAAATTCATCAACTGCACGCTTAAAATGTGTACTCTTTCCTGTGTAAATTATACTTCGAGACCAAGTTTAAAAGGGGGCATACTCCATATGTAGGTGTGGCATACTGACCAAACTCCTTAAAATAACCTCAAGCTTATCTCTGCTTCCCCAACAGTCTGTGGCCCACAGACTGGGAACCCTTAACGGTATGTCAATATCTGGAGGGCATAGGCAATACCAATAATAATGATAAACTTGCAGACATCTGTGTGTACGTGTGTGTGGTGCTGGGGATCAAACTCACAGCCTCGTGCATGGTAGGCAATAACTCTACCATTGAGCTACATCTCCAGCCCCTCAACATAAAATTACAAAAACATTAAATTTAAAGTCATTATTGATTTTAAACCTCAAAACTTTCTGATGAGAAAAACTGAAGCCCAGAATGTTAAGTACTTCCCTGAACGTCACCACACAGAGAGCTGAAAGAGGTAAATGCAAAGACTAAGCAAAGACAGCAGGCACCTGTTAGTTCCCTTTTCTGAAAAGTAGTCTTTTCCTAAATATGTAGCTCAACTGTGGCTCAAATGCCATTTTCCTCCAGGTCCTGTTGTTTAGATAGCAATGGCTGGCCAGCAGGTGGCTACCTGACTCATGCTGAGTTTGAAGTCCTTTCTAGGATTTCTGGGACTGGGAATCACAGTGCCACTCGTGTTCTGATCCCAATGCTAGTCCCATTTTGATGAGGTCAAGCTAGGGTCCACTAGTGGTCTAGTGGTTCTTTTTCCAAGTTTGGAAGAATCTGGCCAGACTTGATGATAACAGAGATAAGAGGTAAAAAGGGTCCTGGTGGCATCTGAGCCCTTGTTTCTAGCTGTCCTTCAGGCATATGTCACTGATAACCTTAATGCAGTCTAAGTACATGAGACAACAATCTGTCTCAAGAAAGTTGAAGTTGGGTTTCTGTCACCTGCAACCACAGTTCGTAAATAGTACAAGAACTAAAGTTTACTAAGCACATACTACACAGTAGGTATGATGCCTGTTACATAAAAGATACCAATTATGATATGTATGTTATCTTTCTGCACTGGATCTTAAAACAACAAAATAAAACTAAACTGAACTCTGAAGTATCATCTCCAGTTCTTGGATAAGGAATTGTGGTAGGCTTTCAATAAATATTTGTAGAGGTGGAAGGAGGAACATATGAACTACTTTGTCCAAGGTCACAGAGCCAGAAAGAGCTGAAGCCACATTTCATACTTGTATCTACCAAACCCCAAAGCACATACTTTTCTACTGGGATGTTGGTACAGAGGCCATAGTTTTAACACTGTGAATCTAATGCTATTTCCATCATGCCCTTCACATATTACACCTCTACAATTTTTGCTAGACCCACCGGTATTTCTGTTTAATTAATATTTTTCTTTAAATCTACTCAGTCCTTAAAAAAAAAGCAAAACTGAATGACTGCACTGTAATGAGCCACAATAAATGGAAAATCAGGATTATCTGCCATGTTATGGTTTTTATCTAAAATGTTTCTCCAAAGGCTCATTTGTTCTGATGGGTCTTTGGCAGGGTGCGTGGGTCAGGGAGGATTCATAATTAAGTGGTCTGGGGAGGTGATGGAAACTTGAAAGTGGTGCCTAGTGGAAAGGAATAGGTCAAGAGGGATGTACCGTCTTCTGTGCCCCTGCGTATTGGGTACTTTTTTTGCATCTTGGCTACCAGTACATGAGCAGCCTCCTCTGCCAATGCTCTCACTGCAAGGATATTCTGCCTCACCTCAGGCCCAAAGTAATGGGACCAACTGACCTTAGACCTCTGAAATCATGACTCAAAGTAAAACCTTCCTCCTTTAAGTTGTTTTTCTCAAGTATTTTGTCACACTGACGAAAAGCTCACAAACCATAATAGAAGCTATCTTCAAAACTACTCTGTACCTCTAACTACATAAAACATTCACCCACTCGGGTCCCCAAGTGAAGTTACATACCTACTGTACTGGATACCACACGCAAGGAAATGTTTCATGAGGCAGATGAAGAAAGATAGTTAGAAAGGTTAACTTGCTTGGCGTGGTTGAGCTGGAATCTGAACACAGATCTGAATAATAAAACCTCACCTCCTAACCTTACCTAGTTCTACGTTCCAATAATCCATGACGGGCTGAAACTAAAAACTACAAAATTAATACCTGGGCTTGAATATCCATGTATATTTAGAGTTAGCTACTACAATGACCAAAGGGACATGGAAAATTTCAGCTATAATGTCTTATGAAATCATCCATCTACTTCCTTTTGGGAAGCAAGCAAGGGAAGAATGGAGGCTGAGAATTTATGTTCACTGTTTTACCAACTCATCTGTAAACTAGTAAGTGTATAAAGTTCACATAATTACTTTGAAAGGTTACTAACAGCACTCGCGTTTGACAGCTATAGTCCCAGTGAAGGCCTGGGTAACACTTCTGTCTTTTAAGCTCTAGTATTTGGCTGATGGCAAAAAGAAGTCAAGTAAAATGCACTTTTATGAGCCCCACATGTTAGAGAGCCTGAGGATACTGTTCTTCAATCAGATGAGGCTCCCTACAGAAATGACATGTTTACATGTGCTACGAAGTTCCACTCCCTCAAGTGCTGGGCAAATAATTGCAATGATGTCCTGTGACATATATAATGTCATATATGTAAGATTTGATAAAGGCTAAGAGAAAAATAGCAATAATATGGGCTATAAAATCTTTATCTTCTAAACCATTAAATGCATAATAAATATGCCTGGTTTCTAAGTGTGCACTGGATGGTGACCATCTCAAAAGGACAGGGAGCACGAAGGAATGAATTAACAATTAAATGCATACAAAAAAAATCTGCTTATCTTTAATAACAGAAAAGCACCTTATCTGTCTAAAATTTTTCAAGACAGCAATTTTATATTCTTTACATAACTGAAAGAGCAGGGATGCTAACCTAGAGAGCATTTCCAACCTTGATATGAAGATGCTTTATTTTCTCTTGCGGGGAGAGCAGTACTAGGGATTAACCCAAGGTCTCCATAGTGAGCTACAACTGCAATCCTTTTTAATTGACATATAATTCGCTTATGCTAAATAAGCAATGGCAATGCTAGTCATTATTTAAGATTTTTTTAGTTCAAAATTCTTTTTAGTTATACTCAAGTAGGAAAAAATGGTCTTATTTTAGATAGATTCGACTTCAAAAATAAGCATAAACCTTTGAAGCTAAATCTTATGAATATATTTAGAGAGAAGAAAAAACAGTGCATGACAACAAGATAGCAGCACAGAACTATCAGCATGGAAGTATACAGAAATCACGGCTGCATTAATGTGCCTAGTTACCCTCAAGCCGCACACAGAGCAGGTGCTCACATTACTTCTCACAGTGGCTCCAAGAGAGAAATGTCTGATGTCCTTGGGACAGAAACGGTAAAACATCTCAGAAACATGTACTTCTATACCAAAACGATTTCATAATGGAAGGAACTTTTACTCACTTGGGAAAAAAAAAAGAGTGCTTCCCTTTTTATTTCTTTTAGCTACAATTAGGTCATTTCACAAATATGTTAAACACTTTAAAACACCTCCCCAAATGGACGGGGGGGGGGGGGGAAGAAGGGTGATAGGGGAGAGAGTAAAGTATGTTATGTGTACATGTAAATCTCCCAAAATTACACCCATTAACCTGTATGACCAATATGTTAATCATAATACCTTTTTTTCATAGTGGTGCTAGGATCAAACCCAAGACCTTGTACATGCTTAGCACCTGAATGCATTTTAATAGATGTGTCTGTTCTATACTCATCACAGCAAGTATTTTTCTTACATGTTTTCTTTTAGTAGGGGAAACAAGAAGACTTTTTTTTTTGCCTAATTTTGTTTCAGACCTTCATTACTTCAACCTTTTGCTTGTTGGGCAGTTGTATACCTCAAGTGGAGGCCAAAAAGTGGTAGAGCAGGCTGCAAGTGGGAAGGAATGCCTAATTACACTCACATAAAGTCCCCATGGATAAAACAGTGATATCAGCTCTCATGCAGCCTGATAGCCAGTTCAGTAAATTATTTATCCTATGTAAGGCCGGTGGGCTAGAATATGTGCGTGTGTAATTATAATGTCAAAGCACAGGCTCTAAAAGTTCAATGTTATCATGAGAGCTGCAGATAAGGTATCAGAAGAATGGTCATAAAAATACACATTGCCTCAAAAAGGAGGGGAAAGGCAGTCATGAAAATATTTGTT